GAAGAGATAAGCTTTGAGCCTCAAAGGTCAAAAAGTTGAACATCATTATTATTATTGTCTGCTACATCATACAAATCTAATACAAAGTTTGAGGCCTTTCTCTTTTTGAGCTACGGATTATATTGTTATTGGACCACACCTCCAAACTGACTATTTGCATTATTCAGCTGTATCATTTATCTCCCTCGTACAAACTGCAATACGATTTCATATAACACATCTATTGAATGACATCCTGCTGAGAAGGAGATGAATGCAGTATTTTAACATGATGTAAGTAGGGACTGTCTATTATTTCTGAATCATCATTTCAACCTGCTCATCTAAAGATATCTTTCGTACAGCTTCTTGCTTCTAACAATATCTTGCTTGACATCTAGGTAAGTATAACCTCCTTCTCTACCTATGAATAGCAGTAGAAGTTATTCTAAAACATTTTTGACCATTGAAGTACTTGCAGTTTTTTATTTTTAGTATCATTATATCTTCCCGCTCATATTATCCCGCCAAAAAACATGTATTCTTCATTGAATTTTAGTGGTTTGTTTTCCCGCTTCATTTTTACAATGCTATGCTTGTGTATAAATATAACTTACTTCCTTCATGCATGCTCACCATTGAAACACTTTGAATTTCTATTTTAAGAGTCTTTCAATCTTCAACCTTTTATTTTCATCACACTTTCTCAGTTTTATTGAAGATGCCACGTATATCACTCCTAAGACATTTGAATGATGGAACCGATAGGTGGCACATAGTTGCAAGAGTTTTCAGGAAATGGAATGTCTTCCATAAGGGATCATCTGCTGATATCTTCTGCGTGACAATGGTTTTATTAGACAAAGAGGTCTCTTTATCTTTACAAATATTAACAAATTGCATATGTCACTTGTGGTTTTTTTACTTATATTTACTAATTACTAATGCTTTAGTTTAATGGAAATCATTATTTTGTTTACAGGGGGATAAAATACAAGCAAGTGTTCTAACCAAAAGTTTACATGACAAGTTTTGCCACAGTATTATTGAAGGAGAGACTTATTTCTTTGCTAATTTTGAGGTCTCTGCTAATGTTAGCCAATATAGAGCTACCACTCATCCTTTCAAGATCACTATAACTCCACGAACACATGTTGCTGAGAAAATAGCCATTGTGCCATCTTATTCCTACTCTTTCTTTCCACTTGCTGAGATAGAGAAACTTAATGAGAAGCATAATATTGAATACTTGATAGGTATTTGACATCATTTTCATTCATTTTAATAATAGTATTATCATTTATGTTGTTACTGAATTATTGACACTTCATGTGTTGCTCTATTTTCCAGACGTTTTAGCATTGGTCAAATCAATTGGCACTCTTGAAGAATATCGGCGGGACAATGAAACCAAGAATAAATTAAGGATGGTGCTGAGTGACATTGAGTACAGAACCTTTCAGTAACTTTTGTTTCGTTTTTTTCCTTTACTGTGCAACAACTTATGTAGATACTAATGATGATAATTGATAATTCATGTTCATGCATTTCAGCGGAATCAATGTAGAATGTATATTATTTGATGAATGTGCCAGCGATGCTTTCATGTCTCAGCTCCAGAATACACAGACACCTGTTGTGGTGTTGTTAAACCTGGCTAGGGTTGGTTTTTCAGAAGATGGTAAGATATATCATAATCTTTAATGACCTTATATATAGAATACTTTTTGTTCTCAAGATTTATTGGCTGTGACTAATTATTATTTCTTCCATTACCTATCTAAATATAGGAAGAGCACAGGTTTGCAATTCTTTTAATGCCACAAGGGTGTTTTTCAACCCACCCATCAAGGAAGTGCAACTAATGATTGATAGGTTTGCAAAACTAACAAATAAACTCAATCAATTCAATCAAATTGCTCAATTAATCGCTTAATTGATTATATAAATTAATTTGTTGGTGCTTATTATATTATAGTTCAAAAGACAATGGCTCTCCAAGTTTGTCCTTCCTTAGCCAGCCCATACTAACTCCACTGAGTCAACAGTCACGTACTAGCATCAATTGCAACCAAAGCCCGATTGCTATATCAAACATAAAAGATCAACCCATGGTTAGTAAGGTTTATGATAGTTATACTATCTAAATCTAATTTATAATTTATAAATTCAATATTGTATAAGTTATTTTAATCAGTATAACTTTGTACATTTGTATGTCAGGGAGAAACTTTTGTCATTAGGTGCATTATTCAAAAGTTAGAGACCAGATATGGTTGGATCTATCAAGGTTGCTCCAAGTGTGGTACAAAGCTTCGTTTAGAGAATGAGAGTTGGATATGCCCATCATGTCAGAAGAAACCAGAGTTTATTGACCACAAGTATATTTTGCATTGGTTAAAAATGGTAGTTTATGCATTCTTAGATATTTCAGTATATAAACTACCTTATGTATTACTTTGTTTATGTTTTTAGGATGAAGCTTCATTACACTGTGAAAGATGAGACAGGAATTGCTTCAATAATATTCTGGGATAAACTTGCAGTTGAGTTAATTAAAAATTCAGCCGCTGAGTTGAAGGTTATTCTAGATGAGGTATAACAATCCTTATAATTTGATATATGATATGTTTACTAATTTGTTGGTATACTGAAATATAAAATAATGTTGATTGATTTAGCCTGATTAAAATTGAAACCTTATATCTGATTGAAGGATTTGTGATGGATTAGGATCCTGAGGAAGTTGATTTCCCCAAAAATCTGGACAATCCTGTTGGGAAGAGTATGTTGTTGACTCTTAAACTGAATGACTACAATAAACGACATCCAAGTTCCAGTATTAGTGTAATGCAATATCATTTATGTGAAGATTTAATGGATCAATTTACTGAGGCATCCATTGAGGTATTTGTTTAATTTGATTAAATCATTTTTTACATATTGTAAGATATATTCACCATTTAAATGCACTATTTTGTGAGCAGATTGAGGAAATTAAGGACCCTTCAAATTCTGATTTATATGTTTAAATACCATCAATTGTTCTGATATTTATAAATTATGTTGATCATGCTTTATTCAGTATTCACAACCTGCTGTGGAACAAAGTCAGGAACATATGAATGTTACTCAAGGAGTTCCTCTAATTGCGGAAAAAGATTTAGTTTCACAATGTGTTGCTGAAGAGGATGTCACACTTTCAAATATGGTCAACCGTGTTAAAGCTCCTCCAGTTAAAGGGAGAAAAAGAAGCGTCGTGAGGAAGAATGTTGAGGATGCTATTGCTGAGGGTACTAACACTGGATCAAGCTCAAGTAATGAACAGAAGCATGTGAAAACTATCAAGTTGGAGAAGTAGTGTAACAGATAATGGGTGTCTTGTCCAATATTATATGTGTTAAGTGTATTACTTATCCTTTGCAGTTCTTAAAAGTTGTTCGTGTGGCTGTTCTGTCTGTTGTCGGTTGGAAGTTTGTATTTCCTTTTAGTTAGTTCTGTGATGAAGTTGTGTTTGTATCATTTATGTTGTTTACCTTAGTATGTGTCATTATGAACCTTTGTAAGTTTCTATTTAATCAAAGTAGTTTACGTTTGTGTTGTATTTTCATGGTTCAGTTGCTCTCATCTCAAGTTAATGATTCTATTTCGTATCTTTATGAATTATTTGAATCTAGGACGATATATTGGAAATGATTGACTTCATCATATAGGTTATTGTGGGAACAATATTAGTATAAAATACAATTTATACTGGGATTCACTTTAACTTTACTGTTTTCCCATAAAAATTCAGACTAATAGGCTAATTACATTTTTATATTTTAATTTTAGCTTAAAACAATTATTGGATGGCAAAAAATGATTTTTTTTTCTACTTGAAATTTTAAACATTCACTTTATCTTATTTGAATATCCAGATTATAAAAAGTTTGAAGTTATATTGATGACACACACACATATAAATGTATATTTCAGATCTTGAGGACACATCCTCTTAAACATCAGGATTATATTTAAGGATACGTTATACAGAATCCATTGACAACAAATGTTGAAATGAATTATGCAATTTCTTTTGCTCGCGGAATAAAACTCATATCTTATGAGCTATTTGAAAATAAATACACAAACTTCATATAAAGCTTAAAAACTTATGAAACATATTTTTTGGTATTGTAATAGGATTAAATATTTATTTGTTACTCCTCCGATCTTTAATATAAAACCTATTTAACTAATTTGATTATATTAAGAAAGTTAGATAAATTAGTTAATTATAAAAAATATGACATGTTTATCCTAAAATACCATAATCATCTTCTTTAAACATAATCCTGCCTCGCTCTTGTATTTGATTATAGTTCAGAGAGTACTCATAGGGATAATTTACAGAAAATATAAATAAATATAATAAATAGGTCTTATATTTAAGACCAAAATTAGTATCTCTAATGAATAATAAAAATGAAATAAAATTTAGATCTTGGTTTTGCTATCAAAGTATCTTTATTCGGTCTGCACAAGCATATAGTATATATAATAATTAGAATTGTTCTATAAGATAATATAATGCTGCAACATTTATTCCACACGGCACGGATACAGCGTCGAAGTGAATACCATGAGTTTTCCACAGTCACTTGCCATCAATTTGCCACAGTTACTTCCCATCAATTTCCCACACATTTGCTATCAATTTTGTACAGTGTTAGTGCTGTTCACTTAATAATATGTATATGAAAAATTAATATTTAATAAAAGGAATGGCATGGATAGACAGTGAAGTAGCCAATGAGATTGAAGGAGTCGGATTGAAATAAAACTATCCAATGGTTATAAACTAATGTCAAGAAAGTTGTTACTATTCATCAACATCAACATCGTCTTTTATATATATATATATATATATATAAACATACACATACCTGTTTCTATTGCATTAAAAACAAAGTTGTTTGCCTCTCATTTTAGATGCTACTATTGCTCGAATATTAGAATAGCTTGTATGTTCTAAACCCATGTCTTCCAGTAATATATTTGAGCGCAAGCTCCATTTGAAATCTACCCACAGATATAGCGATAAATGCGTAACATCATCTTCACCATCCATGGGCAATGGATCATATGTTAATGGATGCTTTTCGTCAGGTATTATCTTTACACATGAAAAAGAAATTCTTATGATAAGGATAATTATAGACATATGTTCCTATTTCCTGTATTATGTTCTATTTATCACGTCCTAATTTCTATGTTCTTATTAGGATTAATCAATTTAGCTGAAACCCATTGTTCGAGTTCATCTTCTGCTGGAAACAATAAAGAAGACTCACATACTTATATGGGAGTTGAAAAAAATCAGGGTTTTGGCGACGTTTTAGATGATATCAATACTCAATCATCCACTGATGTTCTACACAAAGAAAGAAAAAAACCTATTATGCTGCAAGATATAACAAACGTATCTTCCAATCTAACAGACAGATTTCAAAGGAATATGCTCACAGGTATGTGTTATGTTTCAATATCTATTACCAATAATTCTATTTAATCCTATATTTGTATGACACAGGCATTTCCAACTTTCAATTTGTCAACCATAAAAGACCACATTTTGGAGTGCAACCTCTAACCCGAAAAAGTGCTAGGAATAGAGGTCTGGAAAATAATGATGTCAACAAACCTCCATGTAGAAGAAGAAAGACAAGTAATCTACAGCAAGGTTAGTCAATGAAATTAATTTCAAACAACATAGTTAAGAGTCACATTCGTTTCTAATGTATGTAACAGAGCAAGGTATTATTGGTTTGAATATTAACAATTACATAAAGCACATGGGTTTAGATGTAACAGATGTTTATTCTCCAATAAAGTATATTTGATAACAGATAACTTGAATAAATATCATTAACGTACAAATTAATAAATTTCACTAAACTCAACCTGATTTCCTTTAAAGTTTACAAGTTATGTAAAAATCAATTAAAAATATATAAATATTGTTCAGTGATATAAAAATTAAAGTTTTCATTTTTTTATGTAATATTTTAATTTTAATTAAAATCTACAATGGTTTTAAAAATAAATTTCTTTTAAACAATAGAAAACTTTGATTTTTACTTGACTAAAAAATTTTTGCATATCTTTTCATTGATTTTTACACATGTTGTAAATTGTGAAAGAAAGTCCGTTTAATTTAGTGAATTTTATTAATTGATATTAGTTTTAAAAATAAAATGTAGGAGAAAATATAGGAGAAAGTGTAGAACGTTTGGATAAGGACAATATAGTGCTTTTAAATTTATACTTCAATATTTGGTTCTTTTAAATAAATTTAATTGTTATCATCTCTTTCCATAAATATCACTCCCTCTTGGTTGTTCTTTTTCATTCTCCCTATAATTAATTCAATTTACAAAAGTGATGATGGGAGTTTTGTACATAGATGGTAATTTCCTTTTTTCTTGTAGATTTCACACCACAAGAAAAATATTACAAGGACATTCATCTGATGATTGATGCTAGCGATAGAGATGATTGTGAAGATTATTTTCCAAACAGTGACAATGTTGCAGGTTACTACGTGTAATTTTGCTGTTATATTTGTTATTATTTCATATTTTCACATATGTGTGTGTGTACATGTATGGATTATAGTATATATGATAGTTTTGTTAAATATGACCATATTTTGATACGTGCCACTCAGGTAGTAATTCTGATTTAGGTCATAGTACCAGAAGAACATGCTTCCAGAATGACATTAATTATGAAGGTAATCTTATTTCCTTTAAATTTGAATCTTCACGCCATAATTTATTCCTCATATAAAACTAATTCACTTCTTATCTTTTATTAGCATACATTGATGAGGGAGATCCAATACATAAATGCAAATTCTGTGGAGCCCTACTTTGGTATAATGAAAGAGTGAAGAAAGATAATAAAAAAAGGGTGGTTAATACATTTTCAATGTGTTGTATGAAAGGCAAAATAGTACTACCCCCTTTGAAGGCACCGCCTATTCTCTTCCAAGAGTTATTTCTAGAAAAGGATACCGCAGACTCAAAGAATTTTCATACAAATATAAGGCAGTACAATAACATGTTCTCTTTCACGTCTATGGGAGGAAAGATTGATCATTCTAAAAATTCCGGTGGAGGTCCTTACTCATTCATATTGTCTGGACAAAATTATCATAATATTGACAGCTTATTACCAATTGAAGGTTCACAACCAGTGTACTCACAACTATACATATTTGATACTGACAATGAGATCTCAAACAGAGTTGCTGCTGTCAGGTATTACTTGCTACTACATTTTTATTATTTTATCATTTGAATTTTTATTATTCATAAATTTAAATTTATGAACTTCATATTTATCTTTTTTCCAGTAAACACCAAAGGGAATCAACAATTGATAGAAGAATTGTTGCATAAATAAAACTCAATTGGATGAAGTTAATCCATTTGTACAACAATATCGTTTTGCTTCACAATTTTTAAGTACAGAACACCGTCAAAATTTGAGATTATGCTTGATGAGTTCAAGGGCAAATGATGGGCGAACCTACAATCTTCCCTGTGCTTCTGAAGTTGCAGCATTGATTGTCGGTGACATAGATATTATGTTCAATGTCAGGGACATTATTATAGAAGAGCAATCAGGGACACCACAGCGAATTAATGAATTACATCCAGCATATTTACCTCTACAATACCCTGTTGTTTCCTTATGGTGAAGATGGATACAGAGATGATATTGAACACAGAGAAGAAACTCTTCCAGTTACAAAGTCAAGAAAAAGGTTAAGCATACGAGAATTTTCACATACAGACTTATGAGAAGAGAAAACGAGATGTCAATATTGTTACATGCATCAAGATTACTTCAACAATTCATTGTGGATGGTTACACTATGATTGAGTCACAAAGATTGCTTTGGGTTAGAACTCATCAAAAAGAACTTAGAGTTGATTTGTACCAAGGATTATCTGATGCTGTTTTAAGTGGTGAGAGGAATGCTTCACTTACTGGGAAACGTATTATATTACCCTCATCATTTACTGGTGGAGCAAGATATATGTTGTAAAATTATCAAGATGCTATGGCATTATGTAGATGGGCAGGCTATCCAGATATATTTATAACATTCACTTGCAATCCAGCATGGCCAGAAATCACAAGGCTTTGTCAACAAGATAAAGTAAATCCTTCAGATCGTCCGGATATATTGACTAGAGTTTTCAAAATGAAGTTACGGTCATTGATGAAAACATTAAGGGAAAAGAAGATTTTTGGAACAATACGTGCAGGTTAGTGTTTATTATTTTTGTAATGTCGTCAAACATGTAAAATATTTATATAAATTTAAAATTTATTTAATATAATTTATTTTAACCAATCTTAATTTTTACAGAGGTATATACTATTGAATTCCAGAAACGAGGGTTGCCACATGCACATATATTATTATTTCTTGATCCAAATGATAAGATCAATGATCCGGATGCCATTGACAAAGTTATTTCAGCAGAGATTCCAGATAAGCATTATTCACCTCTTTTATATGATTTGGTTAAGAAATACATGATTCATGGTCCATGTGGAGCTGTTAACCCAAAATCACCATGCATGAAAGACAAGAAATGTGGCAAGTATTTCCCCAAAAAAATTCAATGATAATACCACAATTGATGATGATGGTTATCCAACATATAGAAGAAAGAATGATGGAAGAACAATTGAAGTTAAAGGTGTTCCTTTAGATAATCGTTATGTTGTTCCATATAATGCTACATTATTGTGCATGTTTCAAGGACATATAAATGTTGAGAAATGCAATCAATCTACTTCGATTAAATACTTATTTAAATATATTAGCAAAGGCAATGATAGAGTTGTTGCTACTATATTTGATAAGGACAACAATCAAGACGAAGTGATTGATGAAATAAAACAATATTACAATTGTAGGTATATCTCTGCATGTGAAGCATCATGGCGCATGTTTGGATTTGATGTCCATCATTTTTCCTCCTGTTGAAAGATTGAGTTTTCATCTACCAAATCAACAATATGTGATTTATTCTAATACTGATGATGTTGCGGAGTTATTAGAAAAACCAAGAATTTGTGAATCACAATTCTTGGCTTGGATGAAAATCAATAAAGATGGCGGGTTGGCTTCAACTCTTACATATGCTGAATTTCCTAATTATTACATCTACCAAAAAGATAAACGTCAATGGAAACAGCGAGAAAGAGGTTTTGCTGTTGGTAGGATCACACATGTGTCACCATCATCTGGAGAATTATATTATCTTAGATTGTTACTAACTACTGTAAGGGGTCCCACCTCATTTGATGATATCAAAACTGTTGATGGTATGGTTCATGATACTTTCAAATCTGCATGTTTTGTTCTGGGACTCTTACAAGATGATAATGAATACATTACTGCAATCAAGGAAGCAGCCATATGGGCATCTGGAATTCAATTAAGGAGGCTCTTTGTAAGCATGTTATTATGTTGTTCTTTACAACAACCTGACATTGTATGGAAGGAAACGTCAAAGCTACTCTCAGAAGATCTATTTTACATATCTTATAATGATCCAGTCTCATCAGGTTCGATAACTTTAATTTATATTTTATACAAAGTATGTTTATCTATAGAGAATATTCATGTTTATATTACTGGTTGGTTATCTTTTGTAGATATCCATATCTCTCTATCTCAAAAAGAGAATGCTGCTTTGAAAGAGATTGATAATCTACTTCATGCAAATGGGAAAAGTCTACATGAATTTCCTTCATTACCGTTACCAATAGAAACTGCAACAATTGATCTACACAATCATCTCATACTGCAAGAATTGAGTTATGATAGACAAGCCTTATCAGAGGAAGCTAATACACTTTCCCAGAGTTTGAATGATGAGCAACTACTCATATATAATATCATATTGTCCGCAGTTAATCTATCTGACGGTGGGTTTTTCTTTGTGTATGGGTATGGTGGAACAGGCAAAACATTTCTTTGGAATGCATTGATAACAACATTACGTGCAAAAGGTGAAATTGTACTTCCAGTTGCATCAAGTGGAATAGCTGCAACATTATTACCATATGGCAGAACAGCACATTCAAGGTTTGCAATCCCCATTCAAATCACAGAGTCTTCTGTATGTGGGATAAAGCAAAACTCAGCACTAGCAAATCTGATTAAGTCCACAAAGTTAATCATTTGGGATGAAGCACCGATGGTTCAGAGGTATTGTATTGAAGCATTTGATAGAACGTTGAAGGATATTATGCATTCTAATGCACCATTTGGTGGTAAATGCATTGTCATAGGTGGTGATTTTCGTCAAATTCTTCCAGTCATACCAAAAGGTACAAGAGCTACAATTGTTAATGCTTCAATTAATTCCTCATACTTATGGAATCATTGTAGAATTTTGAAGTTAACAAAGAACATGCGACTAACTTCAACTGCTATTCCCAGTCATAAAGAAAAGTTAGAATGGTTTTCAAATTGGTTGCTACATATCGGTGATGGAAAATTAGGTGAATCAACTGATGGTGTTGCAGAAGTTGAAATCCCTAAAGAGTTGTTGCTCACAAATTATAACAACCCACTTCATGCGATTGGGGATAGTATATACACAAATCTCCTTCATAATTTAGCTTCTGGTGAATACTTCAATGATAGAGCAATCTTGGCCCCAACAATTGAAATGGTTGATCGAATAAATCACTACGTCTGTTCTTTGTTACCAGGAGAATCATTTGAGTTCCTCAGCTGTGATTATGTGTGCAAATCTGGTCAAGAAAGTGATACAATGGACAGCCTCTATACCACAGAATTCTTAAATAGTATTACATGCTCTGGAATGCCACCACACAAGTTACACTTGAAAGTAGGAGCACCAATTATGCTATTGCGAAACATAGATCAAGCTTCAGGTCTGTGTAATGGGACACGACTTCTAATATCTCATCTGGGACAAAGCGTGATTGAAGCCATAACACTGAATGGGTCAAAACCCAACCAAAAAGTTCTAATTCATCGAATGGATATGAATCCTTCTGAAAGTCGTTGGCCGTTTAAAATGCAAAGGAGGCAATTCCCGATAATGTTATCATTTGCAATGACAATCAACAAAAGTCAAGGCCAATCATTAAGGCATGTTGGTTTATATTTGCCTAAGCCTGTTTTCAGTCATGGACAGTTATATGTTGCGTTATCCAGAGTAAAGAGCATGGATGGTTTAAGGATTGTTGTTGATGATAAAGATGGTTGTTTGAAGAGAACTACAACAAATGTTGTGTACAAAGAAATATTTACAAATGTAAATAGTACAAATATTTAGTTTGTAGTAAATTATTGATTGTCATCAATGCTATAAAATGTAATTATACATTTCCCGTGCATCGCACGGGCGAGTAAAATCTAGTTATCTAAATAATTATAGAAATTTATAAAATTGGTTTTAGGTTTTGGAAGCCCAGAAATTAATTTTTGGGAATTTATTTCCCATAATTTTATCGATAAAGGCCTAATCAAGAAAAATTCAAAATAAATAGTTAGAGGTGAAGAAAAATTCTAAAAATATTCAGATTTTATCCTTATATTAAAAAGGGATTTTTCATGAGGAGAAATGAATTTTTGAAGGTCTAAAAAAATCATGAAATGTTTCTAGTGAATAGTAATTGATAAAGTTTCAAAATAATCTGGGATTGTGATTTGGCTTGTGGGCCATCCAAAAACTTAAGTAAGCCCTACATTGGACCTAGAAGAGGCCCAATTTTGTGCAAATTTGGATCCTTCAATTAAATGGAAATAAAACCCAATTTTCATACAAAAATCTTAGAATTTTCTAGCAAATGGACATATATGGCTTGATCTGAATGTATCTGACACTTGATGGCAACCAAGTGCCCCTCTTAGGTGGCGCTTTGGTCATGCAAAATGAAAAAATGGTAGATTATTTTTCCTATAAATACGCCCTCAAAATACCCAAAAATAATGGAAAATTGGAAAATCTAGGGGAGGTTTTGTCCAACCAAATTTCCAGACCTAAAAACTGAAATTTGGACAAGAAATCATCAAGCATTGATCAAGGGTTCATCAAGGTATGTCTACACCTCATTATGGTTAAGATTAAAGCTTGTTTTGGTTAGATTTTTGCATGAAAATTCAAGGAAAAATGCTGCCTCAATTCGGTCCAAATGCTTGGTCATCAGAGAAGGATAGAAACCTCAAGTATAATGTGAAATAAGCATGTTAGTGGTGTATGGGTTGATTTTTGGAAGAAAACCAAGTTAGGTTTTCTTAGGCTTCATTTCGGCCAAGAGAAGTTAGGGTAGAAGCTTGTTTCACCTTGATTTGATAATTTTAATGGGTTTAAAATGTGTTTTTATATAGGAATATACTAAAAAGAAGTGTTTAAAATCATTGGAATCAAAAATAAAATTTTTGGAATCCTATATACCCTATTTAGCCAAGACAGTTTGAAAGCGAAGGAATTTGATTTTTATAAATCTAATTGGATATTTGAATTCTACATAAAAAATTGTGTAGGAATTTGCCAAGAGACTATTGAATTCAAAGGAGGAACAATTTTGTTAAAAATAAAAAAAGGGAGGAATTAGGTAGGTTTATGACTAAGTGTTGTATTTAAGTTGTATACTTTTTAATGTAGCTTGTATTTATGCTTGGATTAATAAACTTTGAGGAGAGGAAACAAGGAGAATCGTATTCCCTTAAGGAGGCCGAATTGTACAAGGACTAAGAGGTAGCATTGAATTATAATTTGAATGTTTATCTTGCTTGTTTAATGTATTGTGGTGATGGCTTTGAAATGAGGAATCTATGTGGTGGAATTGTTGATTTGATAACACTTAGTATGCTTTGACCAAGTGCATGATAACATGTTAATATGAAAGTGTAATTGATTCCTCTCTCTATTAAATGCATAGCAGGAATTTTGTATGATTTGAGGATGTCTTGAAGTGCTATTGCATAACACATTATGTCTTGCTTGATGAACGTGAGAGTTATAGTTCATTGCTACTGAGATTTCTATGAAATCTTATTTCCCCTATGTTAAATTATGTCTCAAATAAGAGGCAGCTTATCCATGGACAAGGGCAAAGAATTGGTGTTGGGCTAAAGGAATAATATGGATTTTGTGATGATATGTGAATATTATGTAATATGTTGGTGAACTTTATGATGATGTTGTAATAGATTTTGGATCATATTGTCTTGTATCCATATTTACATAATGTTTCTTAGAGCTGGAAATATTGATCATGGAATGCTTGATTGGTATAGCACATGGAAAAAGGAAAAGAAATTCAAGAAATAATGAATTAGGGGATAAAAATGCCTAAAACAGGTGTAATATTGTGTCACATAAAATAATAAGCAAATGGACAAATTTGAACTTGAGATATGGCAGTCTTATAGATCTTATTTTTAGCTTTAAAACAAGTGGTAGATCATTAAATTTAGAGTTTTGTGCTAAGAGATATGCCCTTCCAAAATTGGGCTAAAATACTAAAAATTCAAAAATTTACCATATGAACAGTACAGTTTATTGAATTTTCTGGCTCTCTTTCAGATGGATATGAGGCCAATGAGTATTTTTTTTTTCTTTATAGAAGGCGCAATAAGCTTCAAATAGAAATTAGAACCATTCAATTTCGGTTTTTCTACATTTAGTTATGAATTTTCAAATTTAGCCAAAAATGTTGTGAACAGCGGATAGTAAACCAAAAATGAAAATTTCAGATTTGAACTTTTCTCATACCTAAGGCCTATATGATGACTCTAAAGGGTTCCCATTGCTATATAATAAGGTAATAAAGGAGGTGTGACAGCTTAAGCCTACAATCATTTTTTTTAAGCCTCGTAACTTGTAAAAATATCTCTGTAATAAATAAAGTAAGTTAATTCACCAAAGAATACAAATAATTAAATGAAGAAATGATTAGCCTTTGAATTTATCCTAAGAATTGAAATTCATAAATCAAAGAGCAGAGAATCATAGACTTGCTTCTTCAAAGAACTTGTCAATAGATAGCTGAAATGTCCTTACTTTTACCCCTTAGAGTATGTGCTTGGAAGCGAGTTAGATATGCGGAAGCTTTACTTAGGCCCAAAAATTAAAAATTTCCTTTAAGTCATCGGGGTTACTGTTCACTATGCATATTTTCATATTACAGGTCTAAATTTGAAAAATCATAACTAATTTAACAAAAATTGTATAGAGGTACTCCAAATTTCTACTCAAAGCTCTTTCAATGCTCTTTAAGGAAAAATTATCAAATTGAAACTTATCTCTTGCCAATTCATACAATTTAATTTGTAAAGATTACTGTTTATTTCGTAAATTCTGGAACTTTTAGATTTCTTGCCTCGAATTTAGAAATTTATATCTCTTAGTATACACATCTAATTAAGATAAACTACCTATGAAATTAAAGCTTAGGATGTGCATAATAACCCTACCAAATTTCATGGATTAAATCATTCATTTAATAGGTCAAACTGGAGATTGAAACTTACTGCTCCAAAACCTATGTTTTTCTCTTCACTTTTTCTTACTTTAGTTCATGCATAACTTAGCTTTCTTCTTTCCCATCCATTCTCATCCATTTTCATTCATGCCATAAATATTCTAATCAATTACATTGCATCATTGACATCCATAAATGTAATTTACATAATAGGAGTATTAAACATTAATCACTAGTCTCATTTATTAACATCAATTCTCCACTTTGTTCTCCTTCCTTCTCATGCTCTCCTTTCATGCAATCACCCAACATTGATTGACCTAACTGGTTGATATGAGATTCAAGAAAATGTTAGTAGCAAACATTACATATTAATCATACTAGATGGATGCTAATGCATAATAAGCAAACTTGCTTGTTCTCTTGTTAATTAGTAGCATATTAACAATCTTAATACTACCTATTAAAGAAATATGGATTAGAAAATGCTAAAAGTGTAAAGACTCCTATGAGCTCAACCATCTCACTTGACGCAGACGAGAAGGGCAAGGACGTGAATCTAACCAAATATAGACGAATGATAGGGTCATTACTTTATCTAATGGCAAGCATACCAGACATTTAATTCAATGTGGGGATGTGTGCAAGATACCAATCAGCCCCCAAGGAATCACATAAAGAAGCCGTCAAGAGAATTCTCAGACATCTTGTCAGAACACAAAATTTAGGAATCTGGTATCCAAAGAAAAGAGTAGAATATCTAATAGGATACTCAAATGCTGATCATGGAGGTTATAAGACAGACAAAAAGAGTACCAATGAACAATGTCAATTCCTGGGAGGATGCCTTGTTTCATGGTCAAGCAAAAAACAGAATACTGTAGCAATATCCTCCACAGAATCAGAATATGTTGCCACTGCCAACTGCTGTGCTCAAATTCTATGGTTAAAGTAGCAACGACAAGATTTGGAAATCAACTTGAAGGAGATTCCAATTCTATGTGACAACACAAGCACAATAAGCCTATCCAAGAATCTAGTTCACCATGCCCGAACCAAGCACATTGATGTTAGGCATCACTTTATTTGGGACCATGTTCAAAAGAAAGATGTAAAAGTAGAATTCATCCCTATTGAATATCAAATAGCAGACATTTTCATGAAGCCCCTTGATCAACAGAAGTTTAATTGCTTCAGAAGAGAATTGGGAATGGTAAATCCCAATGAGTTGTAAGAAATTTCATGTTATCTCTCTAATTTAAGACTTTAGATTTAAAGTTTTGATGATTGAAAGACTAATTCAAGCATCAGAGGATATAGAAATTTGTTTGGCAGAAAGCTCTGTTTCATCAAAGAAAAACAAAGGTAAACAGAGTATGGAATGATTGATAAAGACATCGATAATCATGCTCCAAGGAAGGGTTGATTTATCGATCAACTGATCAATAAATAAGGTGTATGGAGCAAAAGAAAGAACTTGGAAGGAATGCTATTGATAAGTTGATCGATCACTCAATTATCGATCAACACATCGATCAACAGTAGCTTGGAATCACAGTCAAGTCTGACAACTGGGTAATAATTATTGACAAGCTGATTGACAAATTATTAATCGATCAAATGATCGATAAACTAGGCTAGGTATGGACATTTACTTAGCATTTTGTCGATAACATGATCAATAATTCATTGATTGATAACTTGATCAATAATTGTCTTCAATGCTCTTGTGTGTTCCTCTTATTTATTGAACATGTGATCGATCACTCATTGATCAATAAATTGATCGATAAATTCAATGTCTATAACATTAAATTTTTTGAAAAACCCTGTCAGTTATCACAAT